ACAAACACATAATCCAGAATGCTCTGGCTCATTGTTGCTTGGCTGGAAAAGTAAATGAAGGGCAAAAGAATAAAATATTGGAGGTAAGGCAAACCTGTACTGCAAAAATAAAAGAAACAAGAAGGAATATTAGGTTTAAACAAGGCTGCAGGAACCTTGATATGGAGGCAGAGGTGGCTCAGAGGTTAAGACACTGAGTTGCAGACCGGAAGGTCAGTAGCTCAACACTTCATGACCCTAGTGCTGCATGATGGAGTGAGTTCCCATCACTGGCCCCAGCTCCTGCCAACCTAGCAGTTTGAAAGCAAGAAATTGCAAGTAGGTAAATAGGTACTTCTTCGGTGGGAAGGTAACAGCATTCCATGCACCTCGGCATTTAGTCATGCTGGTCACATGACCACAGAGAAGTCTTCGGACAGCGCTGGCTCTTCGGCTTGGAAACGGAGATGAGCACCGCCTCATAGAGTCAGATTCAGCTGGCTTTCAAGTGAGGGAAACCTTTACCTTTTATGTTTTTTTTTGATATGGAGAACAGTAGCTGTGCAGGCTCTATTGCATTGTCATCCATATCCCATAGAAATGCTGCCAAGAGACGGATAGCCAGAGCAGCTATCCCAGACCCTAAAGCTCAGGATTATCCACTTCAGCAAAGCCTTCTGAACTTTTCCAGTGAGTCTAACCCAGAGGAAGAATAGACTGGTGGAGGAAATATTTTCTAATAACTTGTAAACAGTAAATATTTTTCCTGCAAATCCCTGGGGCTCACTGAATTCCAAAGAAATTCTGCAGAGCTAAGTTGCTGTTCAGTTTGTTCTCTGAAGAGCCTTCCTGGATATAAAAATTGCACACTTTGTGTAACTGGAAGGCATTTGATTGGTTTAAAATAGGCAGGAAAAAATAATAGGAATTCATACATTGTGATGCTGGCTGTAAGTCGTCTCATAATGAAGTCTGCCTTCTGATTGTATGTATAGATATTGCAAAAATAATTGGCGTATCAACAAAGCTGCCTGGCCTGTTACAATCCAGTTCTTAAAAATTACTCTTAGCACCATATAGGACTTGTTCACACATGCATGTAAATCACCTGATCTTTCTGAACTTTGAATGTTTTCAAAAACATCATCAATTGGGCATTATAGGAATTTTATGTAAAACTGAAATACATTTACTTTAGAAGTTAATAAACTGTATTTGAATTTTCCATTATATTAACTTTCTCTCCTTTCTCTCCTGCCCTTGAAGGAAATGGAGAAATCAGATGCCAACAATTTCCTAATCCTCTTCCGGGACTCAGGCTGCCAGTTCCGATCTTTGTATACGTACTGCCCTGAAACTGAAGAAATTAATAAATTAACTGGGATCGGCCCCAAGTCCATTAGCAAGAAAATGATTGAGGGGCTCTATAAATACAATTCTGACAGGAAGCAGTTCAGCCACATACCTGCTAAAACTCTTTCTGCCAGTGTTGATGCAATTACCATTCACAGCCATTTGTGGCAGAGCAAGAGACCAGTAACACCGAAAAAACTCTTACCTGCAAAGGCGTAGTGACTTGGGGGGTGGGGTGGGGAGGATACCTTGCTGCAGACTGCTGTGGGAAACTTGCACTTCGTATTTGCTGCCTATTAGAAAATAGGTTCCTTGTTTGCCAACAAGACTCCTTTGAACTCAAGTCTGAAGACCAAGCTCCGTCGTCATGCACAACTGGAATGTAAACACAGTATTTAAGACTCAGAGAAAAGTGACATTTAGGTGATTATGTATTCATGTGCTCATGAAGGATTGAGACAGAAATGGAGACAGATATGTGCTTTCACGCAGTCTAGAGTGCTCATTTCCTATTTTGAAACACAGAACTAATGAATGTTTGCAAATCTATAGTGACAATTTTTTTTTACATCTGTTGCCTTATACTTTGGTATTTTGCGCTTGTTCTGGAATTTGCGTTTACTATTAATATATCTACTGGAGAAATATTCTGTCTTGATTTATCACACCATTACATTTTTAGCATCCGGCAGGCAACAGTGAGAGCCTCTTTGCACTGAAAGGGAGGTGTGTTCATTAGGCTCTCATTCATTGCAAAGGATTTTGCACAGGAAAAGCTCATTGATGGAGAATGCTCAGAATTAAATGTTGCTCGCATGTCTAGCAACTGACTTCTATTATTTTTATTCAACAAGGAAGCATATTTTGCAAAAGATATCAAAGTTACATTCAAAAATCCATCATGGGCCCTGATCCAGGTGGCGTATAGAGACATCCAAATATTTACTTTAAATATTACTTTAAATATTACTTTAAATATTACTTTAAATCTTCTGACAGCTACAGCCCAAACTATATTTTTAGGCAACCATTTGTGATTCAACACAGCATAAAATCACTGAACATGTGCAAGCCCCATACATGCATGTAAGGTAATTCCTGGGATCATGGCCCATGTAGTGTTTGCATTTCAAAATTCTAAACAAAATAGTATAACGTTTTGAAATTAGAAATTTTGGGTGAATCCTTTTGAGGAACAAAATTGGAAATCTCTATAGATTACTTAAAGCTCTCCCAATACTACCCAGTATGTACCAAAGTAAATTTTCTTCTGAGAGACACAAGGATTTGATTTTGCTTAATAAAAATAACTGCATTGAGTACGATTCTTGACATCTTGAGTGTATTCAAACTGAGAGTGGCAAAGATCCACAAGCTTAAAGCAATGTAACTCTTATTTAAATCATTACTGGGGTATATTTTCAGTATTTACAAAGGGCTGCACATCTGTATACTTTTAGAAAAGTAATTTTCTGGGTTTTTTAAAAGAATAATATTTAGTAAAGCAAGCACTATTCCAACAGGTGGAAAGGACAAACTTGAAACCTACCCTTATTTTTGTGATTGCTCTTTTGACATTGTTCACCGGAGGACTTAGTTGGAGGGTGGGAGGGGAGCTAGGTGGAACCTCATTCTCAGGAAAAGACTTGAATTATTGCTGATCCTGTTCCATTTCAGTGTTGTGACAAACGATGGAACTTAAAGACAGTATTGAACTACTCTTCTTCTAAAGTATGTACTTTTATTATGGGTCTGAAGAATGAAAACTTAAAATTCCATACACCTCTCCCGTTGAACTGTTTGAATTGAAGAAGTAATGCTTCACTACAGTCTGCTCATGTTCTTAATACAGAAGTTGTACAGGAATGAGAAATCCTTAAATAATTTAGACAACAGTACTTTTTTAAATTATTAAAAGGCCTTAGGCATCAATGCATCTGGGTTGTTTAGCAACATTTTCTCAGAATGCAGTCAATATTTTACTGTAACTTATGTTCTTATATTTATGTATATTTGTTAAAACTGTAAAAAAAAACCTCTTCTTGTTTAATAGAGATGTGACTCGGATCTATTTGTGGTTAGGTGATTCCTAATGTTTGCATGTTTACGAACCAGGATATCTCACCATCTTCTATTTCAAGTGTAAACATACTGTGTATATATTATATATAATATTAAAAGTAGGAGGTGAATGGTCTGTATATGCTACCTGCTAGGCTTGGCTCCAACAAATGGAATAGGAAAATCTCGTAACTTATGTAAATGGAAGTCTAAGTTAAAAAATAACTGAAGTAAATCCATGGTTGGGGAAACACTAGCAGGACTTAACTGGGATAGACAATTTTAAAGGGGAGGGCACATGAAAGTTTTTTGTTTTTTTTAAACTAAACTATTCTATTCTTGCTAAAAGGAAACTTTAGTTTAAGGACACATGTCACCTACTGATTCATGCACCCTCATCTAAATATTGATTTATGAAGTATGATGGCAGAGGTGTAATTTTAAATTATTGAACATATTATTAAGTTTATCTACAGTTCAAAAATGTTTGTGCAGTGTCTAAAGGTAAAATGTGTACAACACAAAGTTTGATAATGCTGGGTTTAAAATTTACTAAATGCTAGGAGAGTAAGGACAGATTTTTTTTTTCCTTTGAGGCTTACAGTTTTTATAATGACAGTTTTGTTGGGATCATGTTTAGGAAGAGAGAAGCTTTTCATGAAGTCCAGTGTTTATCAATGTCATTATCAGAACACATTGCTGTTTTAACGGGGGGAGCCTTTTTATAGTTTATATGACAGCCAAACATCCTAATTTACAGGCCAGGTGTTCAAATTCTTAACAGTCACCTGGGCTACTGAAACAATTTTTTTGGATGACTGTTGCCGCTTTTAATGCTTTGGCTGTTTAAAGCCAAATTCTGTTATTTATGATTTAATGGGCACCGTCTGTTGAGGAAATGTACAGTGTTATGTGTGCTTGTCCACTTTTGAGGAACATTGCTACCCTATTTTTTCAGATACTGTGCTGTAAAATATTGTCATATTGCTACTTACCTAGTATAGCGTAGTTCTTCCCTCCATTTAAATAAAACGCATGGCACCAAACCGTGTTGTGATTTCATTCTAGCACATGGTTTTCTGTTCATCTTTGAAGTTTCAGGTTTTGTTTATTAAAATTTTTATGTCCCACCTTTCCTCGTGGCTCAAGGAAGCTTGTTTGCAGAATGTGGTTAAACCAGGAAGATAATGGTGTGATGTCTTCTCCTTGAGGCCTTTGAACAAGCACAGAGACATAATTTCCCAGTTAAGATGTTGGTCTCAGAAATTGGATTCTGAGGTTGTTAAAAGTTTCCCAACGGGAGGAATCACAGGAAACTCACGTTTCTCTTCAGAATGTAGGGATATGCTCTATCAGTTACTCTATACCAATCACCCCTATCATTGAGAGGGCAGAGAGGTGTTCCTGGGAAACGGGGGAAGGTGCTGATTCAGTGAACACATGAAAAATGGGTTCAGAAGGGCTTGCACATTCCCCAGATATTGCTTGTACCTTTGAAAGGTCTTTACCAACCTTTTTAAGATGATGAATTGGGGATGACTGCATCCCCAATGTCATATTTAGTCAAAAATACAATTATGCTGCTTATTACCTCTTAATGCTGTTTATCAGAGGCAAAAGTAGGATGATTTTGCACTGCATGAGCAATGATGCTTCATTCAAAACACCTTCAGATCATTGTCTCCAGCTGTAAACACCTTTTGGGGTAGAGTCAGAACTGAACACAAGCACACAACTGTGGTGAGCATATCCTAGATGTTGATCTCGTTGTCTTTGTAGATCTCCTTATCCTAATTTTTGTTTTATTAAATTTAAATTGCATAACAGAAGTATGCTCGAAGGGGGGAAAACAGGAAATTTCTTTCCTGTTGCATTTCTTAGTTGCCGCCTACTGCCTTTCCCAAGTTGAGCAAGCTGCTGCCACAAAGTGACCTTGAGATCCATCATCCTCTCTGCCAGCAGACTCTGGCTAACAAAATAGTCCTAAATAGCATTATACCCTCGAAGCATATAGACTTCAGTGACAGAGGTGTGAACTCTTAGGATTGCACGCTAAGCTTCTCAAGTCAGATAATGCCACATAAACGTAGTTCAAGGAAAGAATTTACATGTGAACTTTTCAGGATAACAATCTGACTTAATGACAGGGTTTAATCTTTCACAGGACTGCAAAAATATAAATGCCCACATCTGTTCTGGATGTTGTGTCTTTTAATAATTGAATTTGTAAAATACATAACGGGGGGGGGGGGTTAGAGTTGGCACAGGATCTGGGAGACCCATGTTCCCACCTTTACTCTGCCATGGAAGTGTGATGGGTGACTTTGGACCAGTTATGCACTCTCAGCCTGTCCTATCAGCATTGTTGTGAAGATAAAATGGGGGAAAGAAGAACGATACAAGCCGTTTTGGGTCCCTATTGGGGAGAAGGGCAGGAAATAAGTATGTGAATGAAAGAAAGATGTGCTTTGAACTATTTCCAAGTACTGAAACAAATAAGGGCTGCGGTGGCTCAGTGGTTAAGATGCTGAACTGCTGACCAGAAGGTCGGTAGTTCAGCATTTTGAGACCTGAGTGCCACATGACAGAGTGAGCTCCCGTCTCTTGCCCCAGCTCCTGCCAACCTAGCAGTTCAAAAGCAAGAAATTGCAAGTAGATAAATAGGTACCACTTCGGTGGGAAGGTAACAGCGTTCCGTGCACCTCGGCATCTAGTCATGCCTGCCACATGGCCACGGAAAAGTCTTTGGACAGCACCTGCTCTTCAGCTTGGAAACTGAGATGAGCACCGCACCCTAGAGTCAGATTCGACTGGCTTTCAAGCAAGGGAAACCTTTACCTTTACTTACTGCCATATGTTTTTGGCTTAAACTAAAACTCCTTTCATCAGGGCTGACCCCCTTAATCCTTTCAGATAGTTTTTGCTCAAGCTGGGTTTCCACAATAGAATACAATCTGGCACTTCTAGGCTTCTCTAGTACTACCCTTTTACACCTTGGATTTCAAGGAGCCAAAGCTATTGTCAAACAAAAATTATGGGACACTTCTCTCCAAATGGACAGAGCACGAGCTTCACACTTTTTAGTGGTGAGAAATAAAAACCTAAAGTTTGCTCCATCCAGTTACCTTTATTTGTTAGAACTCACAAAGCACCGCAGAGCTTTCACTTTAGCACGATTAAATGTTCTCCCACCTGTCCTGCAAGGGAGATATGCTCATACCCCATATGCAAGCGGACTCCGTCCTTATAATTCTGGACAGGTCGAGATGAGCACATTCTTTTATCTTGTTGATTCTA